AATCATCCCCAAAGCCTGATGCTACCTCCACCATGCTTCACAGTAGGGATGGTGTTCTTGGGATTGTATTCGGCATTCTTCTTCTTCCAAACAAGTTCAGTGGAATAATGACCAAAAAGTTCTATTTTGGTCTCATCTGACCTCATGACTTTCTCCCATGACTCCTCTGGATCATCCAAATGGTCATTGGCAAACTTGAGATGGGCCTCGACATGTGCTGGTTTAAGCAGGGGAACCTCCAGTGACATCCATGATTTCAAACCATGACGTCTTAGTGTATTATAAACAGTAACCCTGGAAACTGTGGTCCCAGCTCTTTTCAGGTCATTGGACAGTTCCTCCTGTTTAGCTCTGGGCTGATTTCTCACCTTTCTTAGGATCATTGAGACCCTTCCAGGTGAGATCTTGCATGGAGCCCCAGTCTAAAGGGAATTGACTGTCATGTTTAGCTTCTTCTATTTTCTAATGATTGCTCCAACAGTGGACGTTTTTTAACCAAGCTGCTTGGCAATTTCCCCATAGCCCTTTCCACCCTTATGGAGGTGTACAATTTTGTCTCTAGTGTCTTTGGACAGCTCTTTGGTCTTGGCCATGTTAGCAGTTGGGTTCTTACTGATTGTATGGGGTGGAGAGGAGTCTTTATGCAGCTAACGAACTCAAACAGGTGCATCTAAGGATAATATATCTATAGGATAATAAATAGAGTGAAGGTGGACATTTTAAAGACTAACAGGTCTTTGGGGGTCAGAATTCCAGCTGATAGACAGGTGTTTAAATACTTATTTGCAGCTGTATCATACAAATAAATAGTTAAAAGAACCATATATTGTGATTTATTTTTAAGACAATGTGGACATAGTAGGTGTGAATGTCCACACAGTGGACCCCGCCATGATTTCCAAGTAGGAGAACTTGCAAAATAGCAATAGCCTTTCCTCACTGTGCATTCATTCATATATATATATATATATATATATATATATATATATATATATATATATATATATATATATATATATGAATGTACAGTGAGGAAAGGCTATTGCTATTTTGCAAGTTCTCCTACTTGGAAATATATATATATAAAAAAACAAAAAGCTTCAACTCTTACTTATAGTTCCTGGTGGTATTTGAGAAACCTTTGCTCGAAACCCTGGAAAGTTGAGGTCGTCATTTGTTCCCATTGTAACCAGCATGACATTTCGAGAAGAATAAAAAGTGAGCGGTTCAGTGGGTGAATAGTGTCCACACAACCTGTAGAAAACAGATTCATAAGAGGTAAAATTTTGAGAACTGCCTCATTAGTTTTTTCCTCACAACATTGATTTTAATTCATACACATTTTAGTTTTATTATTACTGATTATTTTTGGCAAATATAATGATATACTGTTTAAATTTTAGTCCAAATTTACTAAATCATTTGCTTTAATGTGGGACCTTGGGAAGCTGACACATCTAACATGTCACCAGCAGCGGTTTTATCATCCACTTCTGAGAATCGCTGCCGTTTTCCAGATAAGTAATGAATTCAATTCAGGGATTAAAGCACATTCCATCACACTTAGCGTAATACATCATTTTAACAGCTGTACATTACATTACAATACTGTACTACTGGCAATTGTCAAACTTTAGGAAAGTCACCATAATATGAAAGCAAAAACCAAGAGAACCCAAGGTAGAACCCTGAGGTACATAATTTTAATTATTACATCATATTATTTGTGTGTTTTTGTTT